TGTAGTTGCAGGATATTTAAGATTATAAAAAGATGTATAGACGATTTTCTTTTGGCAACTAAATATATATATATATATATATATATATATAGAGAGAGAGAGAGAGAGAGAGAGAGAGAGAGAGAGAGATACTTGTGAGCTACATGGGATGAGACACGAACGGCAATGAAACAAAGTGGGAATGTGGTCCAAATTAACATTCAATTTGCATTCTCTTGACTTTCCAGTTGATGAGTAGTTTGTATTGTGCAATAATATTGCTCGCGGTAGAATAAACACTACATGCATATTGAGTATACTATACGGTCACTCGAACATCAGATTTAAGTTTAAAAAATATATATACAAGTAATAAGAGAAATGCCTCTTTAATAATATGAGCCTCAATTGAAATGTTATTCTTAAAATAATAATAATAATAATAATGAGAGAAATGAACCAATGAACAATGGACTAACGACTAATTAAGAAAAAATATTAGAAAGTCAGCCCTAGAGATAAAGCAAAAGAGGTGAGAAGAAGATTCAACACTCCTATTGTTGGTTTTGTTAAGTTGTGAAGTCTAATTATACTATGATGATTTTGCAGATTGACATTCATGATAAGGTTAGTACAGGGTTGGAAGGGCTGCAGGGACGGACCCCTAGATAATAATTTCATTAAGGGTTGTTTGGGAATTTTGCATTTGTAGATTAGTTGTCATGATTTACACTAAAAAGGGTATGTTGATTTTAGATCGTCTTTAGATCGGTTAGACTTAGAGATAATACAGAGTTGTGAAGGTGTGTGATTTTCTCTTATAAACTGTTTTTTCATCGTGATGAATTATTGCAATGACATAAAACTAACATAATCTTAAATTGAGATAAAAGTCTATAAATTTTGTAGGTTTATTTTTGATTGATTTGTTTTCTATGATTTTACTACTCTCGGAAATATAGAATTAAACGTCTAATTCTTAACAGGCTTTGGTCTTATATTCTTGTCCTCAAACTTGCAAGGATGAGACCGAAATGATGGTGGGATGGAATTGGGGCGTGGGGCTGTTTTGTGTGGCTGCCTTGATGCTATGTGATTCATTTTATGAATATATTTCCTCTTTATTTAAAAAAAAAAAAATACTAAATGAAACTATATAAAGGAAGCAAGAAAAGAAGAAATATAAAACAAATAAACAAGTGGCAGGAGAGAGATGAGGGGATTGGGATGGGAATTTTGTTTGGAGTTGAGAAGAGAATGCGCCAAATGGAAGAATCAAACACTGACTCCTACTTACACACTTTACTATCACAAATATTAATACATTTCGTCAAAATGTAGCTTAGCAAATGCGTCCAAATTTGTTAATTTATATACACAAATGGATTGCTTAATATATGAATATATATATATATATGTATATGATATGATAAAAGAATTATATCAACTATTATTAAGCAAAGAAACAAACGTCACTCGATCAGTTGAATTTCTCTCCGTTGCTTTGGTTCATGTGGGTTTGATAAAGTGGTCGTAGGTGACGCATTCTGCCAAATTTTTATTTGCAAATTCTTCTTTTCTCAAATAATTTAACATCTTCTTCTTTATCTTCTTCTTTCTAAGATAAATATTAGTAACTCAAAAGAGAGTTGACCGAGTCAAAAAGAATAGTTTGACCAAGTCTTTTTCTAGTCTATTATACTATGTTGTCACTTGTCATTTGCCACTTTCTCCACTTGCCGCTTTCCATTCTTTCCTCATTTCATTCTTCCAAAACTATTGCCAAACTCCTGTTTTTAGTGGCTGGGCCAGCTTGTTAGAGATGACCCAATTGTCTACTTCATATGGACTTGGGCCTGGGCACTAAATTTTGGATCCATCCCCGGTCTCTATATGTCAAGCCTTTTCTTTTTCTTTATTCAATTATTCTCACGTATGCCTTTCAACTTTATGATCACTCCTCTCTTTATCTTCTAAATTTTAATAACTCTCACTTTATTTACTGAATTTAAAAATTAACATCATTTAACATCCTTATTAAAATTTCTATAAAAAAAAAATAAGAAAGAAGATTAAATGAGATCATGTGGTCCTTTATTTATGGTTTCAACATAAATCCTAGTATATAGGCTTAAAGTAAGACTAATTCCCAGTGACGAAGCTAGAAACAATTTTCAAGGGGCCTTGAATTAAAAAAAAAAAATTTAAACTAAATTAATAGTGTAATAGGGTATTATTAGAAGTAAAAATTGATAGTGTAAATGAAAATATATTACCATTTTACATAAAATATAGAATTAGAAAAATTTTTAAAGGGCAAAATAATGTAATCTTGTATCAAACTTAAATATATAAATAAAAACTTAGAAATGGAAAATTTTAAAGAGTGCTACACAAGAAGAAATAGGGCAAAATAATAAATTTTAGAAAGAACACTAAAGCAGCTAGCCAGGCCCGGGGGGTTGCAGCCCCCTCTGGGCCTTAGCTAGCTTCGTCACTACTAATTCCTTTTTATTTATTTATTAATTTTCAATCAAAACTCTGATAAAAAGGACTAATTAAAAATTAAAGAAAGTTTAGGAAACAAAATAGAAATTATCCTAAAATTCGGGCAGAGGTGAGATTCATCCCTTTTTCTTTTTCTTTCTTTCTTTTTGGTGATAAGTATACGTGATCTTTGATTTGTATCATTGAGATTGTTTGTCTTTTGCTTTGTTCCTCTTTTCAAACAAACTAATAATTAGGAAAGTTCATTATTTATAAATAATCATCATCACAAAATACAAAGACAACTCAACTGATTTTACTAGTCTAGCAGAGAAAAAAAAAAAAAAAAAGAAAGAAAGAAGGCTAGCAACTCTTTTCATACCAACTCTACAACATCCACACATTTTTCAAATCATTCTTCACCAATAAGCAATATAAAAAAAAAAACCAGAATATCAACTACATGACTTATTGACTTTTTTTTTTCCTTTTTTTCTGGAAGTATGACTTATTGACTTATATATAACTCCATAAGCAAGAATATTTCTTTCTTTTTTCTCCTAACGGTGGATAGATGCTAAATAAATTCAACCAATAACTTGAGAACATATAACAACGATCTTAAAGAGCCGTGGAAGCCACAAACCACAAACTCATGAGTGAGGAAGTCTTTGCACTAATCCAAAACAAGTTATTTATCTATATATATACATATATGTACACACACACACATATATAGAGAGAGGATATATTGTAATTGTAGAGAGCCAGACAAGAAAATCAAGGCACAATCCTTCCGAAAAAGATATTTATTTATGAGATTTAGACATAACAAAATGCGCAGATTATGGAGATGAAAAGTTTGAGCTATGGGATGCTAAGGGCTTGTTATGTCGTATTTTTGAATTCTGGTGATTTGAGTGTAGATTTTGAGTTGAATTTGAATTGTAATTTGAGTTTGTGTTTGGATGTGCACATTTAAGTTATAATTTGAATTGAGAATCTATTTGAGTTTGTGTTTAAGTGGGTCAAAACTTAAATTTATATTTAGATAGTATTTTAATAAAAACTCAATGGTGATGAAAAATTTTAATAGGATATATGGGTGTGGTTTTATTCATCTCTTCGTTGTGAATGCATAAAAAAATCATCTCAATCGGAATTAAAAAGAAAAATTTATGACGTTTTTAAAAATAGAAAAAATCTTATTTATTAACTTGAGTTTGAGTTTAAGAATTTGAATTGAAGGGGAAACTTGAACTCAAGTTTTAACCCTAAACTCAAGTTAAATTTTAAATTAAAACTCAAGTTCAAACTCAAATTTTATAAACGAACATGAACTTAAATAAAGTTATAACTTAAATTCAATTGTTTTTTTTAAGTTTTACTCTAAAAGAATAAGCCTTAAGATTCCTAGGAGTAATTATTAAGCTAAAAGCCGTAATGGCTTAATTAATAAATCCAAATGATATAGACCCGTTAATTATATTATTTGGACTATACAGTTTTATAATTAATTTGACGGCCGCGATCCGCATGCACACTAGCACATCACACGCCTAAGCAATTCCTTAAATTTATTTGTAATATCTCTTTAGTCCACAAAGCTAAAGCCTAAGCCTTTCTTTTTTGCGTTTTCTTTCTGATTGCTTTTTGACTTTTTGTTTATGCCTCTTGCTAAATTGGAATGGTTGTTTTGTTTACTTTTTCTTCATATGCAAGTGTTAAACAGTAAGCATTGTGAGTTGTAGGACCAATGCATGTTATAGGCAACTAGGGATGGATAGGGGAAGACTTTTTGATTGTTACAAACAATGAGAAGGGGATCCTTTTTTTCTTCTTTTTTTTTTTTTTTTTTTTTTAATTTTTCCCCCTCAAGAACAAGAACAAGAACAAGAACAAGAACGAAGTCAAGGAAAGAAAACGGTATCCCTTGACGTAATTAAAGGGACTCCTCAAATGCCGATAAAAATGTGCGTGAAAAGTCATACTCTCATGTCCTACCCTTTAATGAGGAGTGGATCACTCCAACCCCACTTAATACGCTACCACCAAAGATATATGTTCCACGACCCTAATATTAGGTTAAATTTTCAAAAAGGTTAATCACCAGGATAAGCATGCCATAATGCATGAAATTGTCAATGTTTTCGAAAAGATTACTGGCTAAGCAAATTTCAAATTATACCACTTTTTGTTCCCTCTTATAACACTTGAATTTTAACCTAATTTTTCTTTACTGCCATGTTGAGAATGAGATGAAAATATTTGGAATCTTGATTCTTCATACTTTGTCACAGGAATCTCTCTCTATATTCAAAAAGCATGCACTCATCGCTACGTGCACATCATACGGGACATTCAAGGTTTACTTGAATAGATCTTTAATACTGATCTGAGGGACAAGAAAAAAGGGAAAGACGAGTGAGAATCATTATGATGTTTTCAAAATCAATACTAAAACACCATAATTAGGTAGCTGCAAAATAATGATGATTATGTAAACAAAAACATAGATAGTAAACAACTATGATTCAAATTTCTTTTTTCCCAATAATTCTTCTATTGCTACAAAAAACTTTACAAAAATGCTCTTCCATTGTGTTGTAATTTCTATGAACAACAACAACAAACAACAAACAACAAACAACAACAGCAACAACAACAACCAGTCAGCAAAACTGCAACAGGAAACAACAGAAACCCAAGTGGCCAAAACTAACCAAACTATGAAGTCTCCCTGTGCTTTCCTTCCAACATTTCTCTATCATCACATAACTCCTATTATTTACATGATCACCACAAAATCTAGAGCCCATTGAACCAATCTTCCGATGAAGCTTGATAGTTTTATTTTTTTTTTATTTTTCTCTTCTCACGATTCATCATCAATCACAGTTTCTTTAAGTGAGAAGCCGTCCATGATATCATTCTCCGAATCAACTTGAAGATCCTTAAACTTAGCCATCACCTGAATCATGGTCGGTCGACGCAATGGCCTGTCGTCGAGGCACTCGAAGGCGATCCTTAGATAATTGCACAACTCGGACTCGGCAGATTGATCTGTCAACAACTCAGGGTCAAGTATCTCACTACTTCTCTTCTCTTTATTCAGCTGTTTCGCCCATCCAACAAGGTTGTTATCATCGCCGAACTCCAACGGGTCAATAGGCCTTTTCCCCGAGATCAGCTCCAACAGCACCACGCCGTAGCTGTACACGTCCCCCTTTGTTGTGCACCTAAAACTCTGGTAGTACTCTGGAGGCACGTAACCGGGAGTGCCCGCGAGGGTGCTCACGCTGAGATGCGTGTCGAGCGCGTTTACCAATCTAGCCATCCCGAAATCGGAAACTCTAGCCTCAAAATTCTCGTCAAGAAGAACATTGCTAGACTTCATGTCGCGGTGGATAATGTGAGGAATGCAGCTATGGTGAAGGAATGCCAGGCCTCTCGCAGCCCCTATGGCAATCTTTTTGCGTGCTGCCCACCCGAGTGTCGATCCATTTCCTCCCTTATCAGACTTGTCATGAAGAACAGCTTCCAAACTCCCCCATTTCATGTATTCATAGACAAGAAGCCTCTCTTCTCCGATTTTACAATACCCTAACAAAGGAACTAGGTTGCGGTGCTTGATTTTTCCGATCGTTTCCATCTCCGCCATGAATTCTCTGTCCCCTTGGCCTGTCACATGAATAAGCTTCTTGATTGCGACAACGCATCCGTCTCCCAGCTGCGCCTTATAGACCTCGCCGAAACCCCCCGAACCAATCAAGCTATCTGCACTAAAACCGTTTGTGGCCTCAAGCAGATGTGCAAAAGTCAGCTTGCGCAAAGGCTTCTCAATTGTGGCAATGTTGATGCTCAGAGGCTCGGGGACGCTCGAGAGTTTCCAGCTGCTGCTACCCGATGTTGGAAGGCTTTCAATGTACTTCTCCCGTTGCTCTTCCTCTTTTCGCTGGTGCTTCTTCACTCGGTAAAGCGCCAGTGTCAGCATTAGGATGCAGAGGACAAAGAAGGCGATCCCGATTATCATCCCTGCAGCCATAGACTGCTTTCTTCCGCGAGTGTTGAGACCTGCCGAGCGGTTTCTTGCGCTACACGGCAGCAAGGGTAGCCCGCAAAGGCCCGAATTGTTGTCGTATCTGGACGCTGGGAAAGTTGTGAGCTGACCTCCGGAGGGAATGGAACCTGTCAAGTTGTTGTTGGAGACGTCGAGGTCGCTGAGAAAGGAGAGAGTCGCCAACGAGCCCGGAATAAATCCACTGAGGTTGTTGTGAGAGAGATCGAGAACCCCTACCATTTTCAATCCGCCAAAGCTGCCGGGAATGGTTCCAGTTAGCATGTTGTGTCCCAAGTTCAAAACTTGCAGATAGTTCATGTTTCCGAGCTTGTCGGGAATGGTTCCGGACAAGGAATTGTAGGAGAGATCAAGGTAAATCATGCTGCCATTGCTCGAAAAAGTGTACATTGTCATCCCGGAGTAAATTCTTGTTGAAGGGCAGGAGTGGACCATGGGAAATCTCTCCAGCCTCTCGGGTCGAACACCCTCAAACTCGACTAGCCCTCCGGCACCCCTGCAGGCCGTTCCGCCCTCGTTCCTCACGAACGCAAACTGCTTCCCGGAAACAGTGCCAGGAACGACGAGCCCCGCTTGGTCGGTGAGCTCAGAAGGGATGGACCCGGAGAGCTGATTGCTGTTCAAATCAAGCCAAATAAGACTCCGACACATTCCGAGCTCTGCAGGAATCTGCCCTGATAGAGAATTGTTTCCCATCTGCAGGATGGCGAGGTTGGCAAGATTGCGTATTCCACGGGGAATTCCTCCGGTGATCTGGTTGCTAGAAAGCGAAATCCATATCATGTTTGTACAATTGACAATGGAGTCCGGAAGTGTTCCATTGATCATATTGTTGTTTAGTACCAGCATCTGCAAATTTCCACCTCCATTTATGCAAACGCCTTCCGGGATTCCACCACTAAGATTGTTTGCCCACATGATCAAGTCCGAAAGATTCGGCAACCGCCAAATCTCCGATGGAATCGGACCACTCAGATTGTTGAAACTGAGATCAATAGTCTTCAAATACTTGCACTTCCCAAGCTCTACCGAGACAGAACCTGAAAGTTTGTTATTCGGAAGCAGAATCTTTTCCAAAGCTGAGGATGAGCAAAATCCAGAAGGGATGTTTCCAGTAAAGGAATTGGAGCTTAAATCCAACACTTGAAGCTGAGTACATTTGGTGAAAGAAAATGGAAAAGGACCAGACATATTATTGAATGGCAAATGCAAATACCTCAGGCTTTGAAGACTGCTAATGACTCTTGTTATGAAATCCCCAGAGAGTTGGTTTGTTCCGAGGTTTAAACTCACCAAAGAAGAGCATGATCTAAAAGCCGAAGGCAGCTCACCAGAGAGGCTGTTTGATGAGAGATCAAGCTCCTCAAGAGTCCCACAAAGCTGTCCTAATTCCGTAGGTATTTCGCCATAGAAATTATTATGCGCCAATGAGAGTTGTCTCAAATTCCTCAAACTTACCAAACTAGTACCAGGAATCTTGTCCTGCAAATTGTTGTATGAGAGGTCCAGAGTCTCCAAAGCCCGGCAGTTTCTCAAACTGGCCGGAAATTCAGCGCCGGAGAGCGCGTTTCGAGACAGCCTCAGGTCAGTGAGGTTGGCGCAGCGACGGCCGAAGTCGAGGGCGGAGAATTCGCCGGAGAAGTTGTTATGTGACAAATCCAAAGAGTTGAGAGACTCCGGAGCATTGGCCACCAAGGAAGAGGGGATATTCCCGGAGAAAAGATTATAAGACAAGTCAAGAGTCGAGAGACTTGCGCAAGAAGAGACAACACTAGTCATGACATTGACACCATTGAGCTTATTATCAGACAAATTGAGAAGCTTCAAGTTCCGGCAATCATCGGACATTATCTTAAACTCCGGGATTCGATTGCGGGACAGGTCGAGCGACAGCAGAGAGGTACTAAAACGGAGTCCGCCGCCGACGGAGATCGAATTGCGAGAAAGATTGAGGCTTTGGAGGCGGTCGCAGGGGCGGAGATCGGTGAGAGGGAAGGCGGAGACGTTGTTGGAGGAGATGTCGAGAGTCTCGAATGCGCAGGCGGCGGAGAGACTGTTGGTATCGGCGGCGACGGAGAAAGAGTTGTGTGGAAGGTGGAGATGGTAGAGGAATGAGAGGTAGTTGAGGTGGAGGGTGCCGGAGAGGCCGGAGTTGGAGAGGTTGAGGGAAGTGACGACTCCATTGGAGGAGCATGAGACGCCAAACCATGAGCACGGGCTTGAAGAAGAAGATGAAGATGAAGATGAGAGTTTCCAGTTGAGTAAAACGCCATTGGGATCTGATTCAATGGAGGAGTTCTTAAAGGCCAACAACATTGTCACTGCTTCTTCTTCCGCTGCTGCTTTGGAGAATACTAGTAGAAGATGAAACGCAAGTAATAGAAGAAGCTTAATCAATCCCATCAATTTCATCATGATCTTCTTTCTTTCCTTCTTCTGATTTAAAATGATGCTCTTTTCTTCATATCGTGTTTCCGCAAAGTTTCAAGCTTTTTTCTCTTCTTCTTCTTCTGGGAGCCGTAGGAAATAGGAATCTTTCTTTCTACAGCAAAAGCAGAATAGAGGAATCAGGAAAGGTCAAAGACGACAAGTCTTTTGTTATTGCTCTCTGGTTGTTCTTTGATGATTCTTGACTCCACTTTGTTTTCCAGATCTGTGCCAAGACAAAACCAAACCCAGTTGTCTTCCTTTCAATTCTTCTTCTCCGTAACATTAACTGGTGGGAAAGCTGAAAAATTTCAACCAAAACAAAAAAACAAAAAAACAAAAAAACAGGGTGTTTGTGGAAACGAAGAAAGAGGAAACTTGAGAGTAGATAGAAACAAATAACGAAAGAAAAAAGAAAAGAAAAAACAAAGATGAAAAGACATATAAGTGGTATTGTAAGGAGATTTACCTTTGTTTTTAGGTACGATGTTTCAGAGTGAGAATGAGTGAAACAAGAAAGAAGGCTCTTGCTCTTCTGAAATGAGAGGAGAGAAAGGATTCATTCATTTCGTTTCGTTTCGCTCCGTAAAAAGAAAGCGCAAAGCATTTAGCTTAGCAACTCCCTTTTTCTTTTTCTTCTGTTTGTTTTGTTTTTTTTTTATATTGAATTTCTGAATGTTACGGACCCAGAAGACATTTCTTCAGAGCCCCTTCTTCTTTCCAGCTGCAATCAACGCCTCTCCTGGAGGAACTCAACTGAAGGGAAGGAAGGAAGGAAGGAAGGAAGGGGGATTCTGTTTGATGAGAAGATTTTCAAAGCTCAGACTCAGACTCCAGAGAGAGAGAGAGAGAGAGACAAAACTAGAACCAATAACCAAACAAAAAAAAAGAAGAGAAAAGGCCAAGGTTGGTGTAAAGTAGAAGGAGAAGATTGGTATTTGGTAATGGTAAATGTAAATGTAAAACCAAGTAAAGTGAAACACACACTCCCCGAGAACGCTCTATGCCTATGGAATACAATACAAAATACGACTAATTATTCCTATATTAACAAGATATTATTTTGTAGATAGAATATTTTTGTGTCACATGATAATTCTTAAAAAAGAAAAAAAAAAGAAAGAAAAGTCTAAAGGGTGGTTAGTTTGGTGAGAGTGGAATGTGGTACTAAAGTAGAGTAAAGTAAAGTAAAGTAAAGTAAAGGAAAGGGGGGTAATAATATATATATGCGCTTGCGTAATTTCTTCTCAATTTGGTTGGATTTTTGGGGTCCAGTCAAACCCCGCGAATTTGATTCTCCCTCTTTCTCTCCCCTTTTCTTTTCCCTCAAAAAACACACTTCTTTTTTTTTTTTTTTTGTTGGAGCTACTATTTCATGGAAATACTCTTCCACTTGCTCCTCTAATTCTTCTTTCCTCTCTTTTTCCGTTTTCTCCTTTTGTTTCCAGTAAATAAATAAATAAATTCCACGTGCAGAGCAATTTTGAACACATTGATGATGAGTAATGGGTATCTACCGTATCTTTTTATCTTCCAAGACCAAGGCTTTTAGTTTCTTATATTTCTTTATTATTATATTCTGCAGATGAGAGATACAGAAGTCGGTACAAGGTTACATCTAATTCACAAAATTCATAGAACCATGTACATGTTTTTTAATATTGAAAGTTTTTTTTTTTAAAGTCCTAGTAGAATTATGCATCAATAAAATTGTTCCGTTGTGATCAAGTTGTGCTAAATTTTTAATATATTTTTCTTTTACTCGATACAATTTCAGTATGATCTAAATTTGAAAAGAAAGAAAAAAAAAACAGTGTAATTGTAATTGGTGCAGGAAGCATTATAATAAATAAATGAAATGCCGTAACATCCGTGCGTGAGTAGCTGGTAGCTGGACTCACCTAATGTAATGTAATTCACTATCCACTGTACCACCATCATACACATTTATATATATATATATATATATATATATAAGATTGGTGTGCACGTCATGGGGTTGAATTTATAGTGGAGAAATTCATATTAAATGGGTGAGTATTTGGCATTGCTTTGAATATAAGACTCTTTTGTCCCGTTTATTTTACCAATTTGAGTTTAGAATTTGAGTTTTGTTATAGTAAAAAGTTCTCAGAAACAGTCGCATTTAACTTTTTTGCTACAGTAAAAAGCTTTCAGAAACAATTATATTTAACTTTTTTGTTACAGTAAAAATCTCTCACATAAACATACATCTCAACTCAAATTAAAAACTTAAATGAGCGAACTAAACGGGCCTTTTAATTTTAAAGAGAGACAGAGACTAAGCGCTCATTTATTTTATGAGTTTAAATCTATAGTTTTAATTTTATTACAGTATTTTTTTATCATAAAAAATTTAAATTTTAAATATTAAAATTAAAAAATTATTGATTTAAATGTATGAACTAAACCGGTCATAAAATAGAGTAGTTGAGTTTGTTTTTGAAGGTTGATCATATCATATCAATATCTATATCATATCATAGGATAGGAAAAAGTGAGCATAATAGATAGAGACAAGATTACATACATAAATAAATTAAAAAAGAAAAAGAAAAATGAAAAGGATGTGAAACAAAAGAAAGAAACAAACACAATGAGGGCGCGGGGCGCGGTACATAGGAGAGTGTGTGTGTGGACTTGGGCTCGTCATCTCATGTATATATAATATATATATCTATATGCACACATATACATAATACATATATATATATATATGCGTGCGTGTGCATTGTTTGTTCGTATGCGTTGTGTTTTGTAGTTTCTCCATCTTGTTCTTGTGTGTGTGTGTGTGTGTGTGAGTTTTGAGTACTTTATGGGAAAGTGGATGAGAGATAGAGATAGAGATAGAGCTTGAGTTTGTTTTGTAGTGAGAGAAAGAGAAAGAGAAAGAGAGGGTGAGGATTGCATTTGATTTTGTCAGTTTCCTAAAATGCTTTGCACACGAGCGCATCCAACACTCTCCCTCTCTCTCTCCCTGGATTCGCACTTTTCTATTTGTACAAAATACAATACGAGGTACCGCCTCCTTCTCATCATTATTGCACATATACAAGCATGAAAACAAGATTTAAAAAAAAAAAAAAAAAAGTGTTACATGCTAAATAAACAATAGTAAAATTCTATATTACAATGGTATGAAAAAATGCTAATTGGTAGATCTTTGTTTTAAACCCTATCATATCTAAATTCAATGTTTAGGTTACACTATATATAGACTTCCTTATCATAAAAACTAAAAATCTCTTAAATAATTATTGACGGTGAAAATTTGTCTAATAATATAATCAAATGAGACGAGAATCAACACCATAATTTATAATAGTTCATCTCAGAGTGAACCTACATCCACAATGCAATTCTTTAAGAAAAGATGATAATTTCACAATCACTTTTCAGAGAATATAGAATACACGGTAACTTTTTTGCCAAGGATTAGACTTAGAGTTTCCATGCATGACGAATCCTCTTTTTATACGTGGCTAAGTAGGTTGATACTGACGCATTTAAATTTAAATTCAATGCCTAGTGTGATTATCTTTCTCGAATTTATAATATAGATTAACAAATATTTCATGTCGTTATCCTTATCCTTATTTGAATTTTAAATAAGTTAGGATCAAATTTATAAATTCCTCATGAATTTTATCACTTGTGTCAACATGCCCCTTGAACTTTAAAATATGCATGTTGTGTCTCCTAAATTTTGTCACTTGTGTCAGCATGCCCCCTAAGGTTAACTCTGATAAGTTTTTTAATGGAAATGCTCATAAATATCCCCTGAACTTTGTCACTTGTGTCAATATCCCCCTTGAACTTTAAAATGTACCTATTTTACCCCTCGAACTATGATATGTCTCCAACTTCTCTCCCTCCATCTTGATTTTATCAGTTTTTTAAATGAAAATGTTGATATGACCATTAAATTACTAATTATTTATGATATTTGACCATTAAAGTTTGTTAAGTTAATGGGTTTCTTGAGGCTTGTGTTGATTTTTTTTAAAAAGGTACAATAAAATAAATGGCCTGACGCATTTAGATTTAGAAATGCTATATATGTGGAAAGCATAGGCGAAATTCATTACATTATACAGATTTACTCTTCATTGTCAAAATTCTCTAATCAACTAAAATTTTGAGAATTGGTGCTTAAATAACATTTTTAGAGGAGAAGGTATTCAATAAACATCAAATATTATAGATAATTAACAATTTAATAGTAATATCAACATTTTCATTTAAAAAGTTGATAGAATCAAGATGGAATGGAAAAAGTTAGAGACATATCATAATTCGGGAGGGCAAAACATGTACATTTTAAAGTTCATGGGGCATATTGACACTAGTGATAAAGTTCAGGGGGAGCATTAATAAGCAATTCCGTTAAAAAACTTAATAGGGTTAACCTCAGGGGTATGTTGACACAAGTGATAAAGTTCAGGGGGCACAACATGCACATTTTAAAGTTTAAGAGGCATGTTGACACAAGTGACAAAATTCATGAAAAATTTATAAAATTTGTCCAATAAATTATCCTCCGCCATATTTTTATTGCGTGAAAAGCATACGTAACTAATTTATTCAGCTCGATTAACTAATACCATTGAGGATACATTATATTCTTTTTACCCAATACTAATAGTCCTCATTTTTTTTTTTTGGTTTCAATTAGTGAACTCAAAGTGGAGAGATTTAAGATTTAGATCTCAACAACATCATGAGGTTATGCCAACAACCACTTTAATATTCTCTTTTTAACACCTATGTTTTATTTTTCATTATTTTGGGATGAAGATATATTGGCCGTGTTTGGAATTGATCCAGTTTTTGTTTTTTATGTTTTTCGAGAAAAAAAAAATGAAAACGTTTCCAAAACGGTATTTGGCGCAATAAAAACAAAAAAACAGAAATGAAAATGATTTTTTAGTTTAGTATAAAATGAGAGAGAAATGAAAAATGACTTTTAATCGTTTTTCATTTTTTGTTTTCATTTTCTCCTCTCTCGAACAGAGAGAGAGAGACATTAATGGGTTTTTTTATACTGAAAATAATCTCTTAATAAAACTACCAAATACATTTTTAAAAATAATTTCTGTCTGAGATTAAAAATATTTTTATTTTTATTTTTATATAAAAAATAAAATTATTTTAAAATGAATTCTAAACGCGTTCATTATATCTCATACAAATCATCATTTTGCTATAAAAAGAAATTGCGGTGTATATTTCTCTTTATTAAGGCGTCAATGATGAATTTCTCGGTATTTCTATTATGTGTATTTGTAATATTATAAGGAAGCGTTGGAACTTTGTCTTGTTCTTGAGAATATTTAGAAAGAAACCCTTTTGTCAAATAGAATACTAATTAGTTCACTAAAAAACAGCGGAATCCTCGCAAAGAAACCGGGCTGATTTCTGGAGTGGCGCTTTACATATTACTAGTTAATTAATTAATTAATTAATAGTTGTATGAGGGAAGAGGAGAAAATTTTAAGTGAAAAAGTTGAAAAGGTCCCCGTCATGAGCGAAAAAAAAAAAGGAAAAGAAAGAGAGATAAGGAGAGAGGGAGAAAATAAAAAAATAAAAAAAAGCAAAAGAGCTGAAAATTACAAAAAAAACTCAAATCCAAGACGCAAAAACCATTGCGCCACCCCCACTTTTTGAAACCCCCACACCACCCTTCAAGTGTTACTCTGTTAATTGACGATTCTAAACATTGTATCCAGTCATATGACGATTCTTACTCCTAATTATTATTATTACGTTTATACTTAATTTATATTTTTCATCCTATTACTTTAAGACCATAGACTCTTAACATTTACGTTACTTTTTTTTTTCTTCAATAGTAAAATAAGTATTAATATACTTTGTTAGGATAAAACTTTGATTATTATTTTATAATAAAACTTGAATATTAAAAATACTTTTATAAAACATTTTCAACTT